ACTGGGTGGATTCAGACTGCCACCCTTCCAGTTAGCTGCCACCAAGTATGTCAGCCATTGGCACCCCTGGGGGGGGGGACTCTTTTCAAGGACACCAGGAGGGTAAGTAACAGCCCTCCCCCTCAGTACTAAGTCCTGTCAGCTGGTCAGGACACAGCCAGTAGAGGAAGAAGCTCATCCAAGCCAAGTGAGTAGGATCATTCTCCAGGAAAACTTAGGAACTCTCCGGAGAGAGAAATCGCTGTGGTCTCGAGTGTTTAAGTAAGGTTCTGTGGGGTGGGGGATCACTCCCCCAAGAGCCCAGCTTGGTACTGCTCCCTCCACTGACCTGGGTTTTTCTAGGCTGCATGCAGAGACACCTGAGTGATGTTAGGTGGTGGTGAGACTGTAGCATCTTGGAGACCCAGCAGGTGGAGTCATTGGTACAAGCAGCACTGGGCTGTTGTGATTGGGTTGGAGTCTGTGGGGAACGGAGGATAGAGAAGAGTCAAGACTAGAGAGAAGGAAAAGCCTCAGGTCCAGTGTCAAGGGCCTTGGCTTCTGTGGTCCAGAAAATGGAGGAGCTCTTGCTGAGGAGGGCAAGCTAATGAGAGGTTCCTATGCAGGCTGATTCAGGTAGCTGGGGTGATGGGGCTCCGTGGAGCATTCCAACCCTCTGTGCAGGAAACCTGGGTCAGTTTCTGGCCAGCGTACCTCACACACAGCCACCACCTGTCTGCCGGTGCAGGCTTGCATGTTGCTTGGTGCTGAACAGGCTTCAGCTGAGTTTGCAGACTAAGAGCAGGAAGAAAGGCCTGGTGATAGCTTCTGAAAACCAGCCAATGAAAACCTTGTGGATAGTGAACCATGTCTATCCCCTGAGGTCATCTTTTAGTGAAACAACAGATTGACACACAAATGAAGTATTTTCTGTGAATATGGTGTTCCATTAAAACCATTCTATATGAGACCAAAAGGCCAACAATGACTCTAAAGCAAAGATGAGAAGATAAAGGGGCAGGGAAACTAGAGCACTGGAAAGGGAACAACCTGAACACAATTAAAGACAAGGTGGACAGGCTATAGAAAATGTAACTAATGTTACTGAACAATGTGTAGAAATTGTCAAAACCAAAAATAATAAACCAAACCCACTACCATCAAATCGATTCTGACTCAGAGCGACCCCTATTGGGTTTCCGAGACAGTAAATCTTTACTGAAGTAGATTGCCCCATCTTTCTTCTGCGGAGTGGCTGGTGCATTTGAACCATCAGCCTTCTGGTTAGGAGTCAAATACCTTCGGCACAGTGCCACCAGAGCTCCTTTAGAAATTGTCAAAGGGGACCTAATGTGCTGTGTAAAGTTTTACTGGAAACCAAGTAAATAAATTATTATTTATAGAAACTCCTGTGACTCACAAAGATCCGATCCTCAACCGTTCGTGGAGATGGTACAGGATCAGGCAGCATGTCTTTCTGTCATACGTGGGGTGGCTGTGAGTCGGTTGACTTGAAGGGAGCGAACAACCACAGAGTCGTCTACAAGGCTCTGTGCGACTGGTTGTAAAATGCCTAAGACACGTGACTGCTAACCAGAAGCCTGGGGGTTCAAACCCACCAGCCACTCTTCGGAAGGAAGGTTGGGCAATCTACTTCCATAGTGATACTGCCTCGGAAACCCAAGGAGGGGTCGCTGAGTCGGATTTGACTCGACGGCAAACCACCACCACCACCACCACATAACTGAAGGAGCCCTGGTGGCACAGTGGTGAGGCACTTGGCTCCTAACTGAAAGGTCGGTGGTCCGAACCTACCAGCCACCCCTCAGGAGAACGATGTGGCAGTCTGCTTCCTTAAAGATTGATGACAGCCTTGAAAACCCTATGGGGCAGTTCTACTCAGTCCTATTAGAGGGTCGCTATGAGTGGCAATCAACTCATGGCAGTGGGCCCACATGACTGTTAAAACAGATGTAGCTAATATTTCTTACATTCGTCTAGCCCTGAAGTGAGGGAGACGGGGTGGGGGGATGGGGGTGCACACACTGTCTTCTGTGGAGGAGCAGCACCCTCTGCTGAGCGTTCCGATTACTACAGAGTTTGGCTGGGTTTCATAATGGCAGGCAGAGGTGCCGCTGAGGTAGGATCTGACCCCTACCCCTGCAGCCCTAGTTTGGGTGATTAAAGTGAAGTTTTGTGCATGTGAGTGTAGCCCATGGGACTCGCAGGAAGGAAGCGTGAGACCTCAGAGGGGGCTGATGCACCCCATTGGCACGTGGGATCAAGGTGGTGATGGGAAGGTGCTCTCAGGGCTGGACCTCAGAGGTGGGGTTAACGGGGCCCCAACAGAGGAGGAGGAGCTGAAGGTGCAGACAGGTTCATTGCAGAGGGCCAAGGTGTTCTTTCTGAGCAAGGTTGATAGGCTCTCCTTGAAGATTAGCTGGATGCTGAGGCCGCTAACTGGTGTCGCCTTCGAGAAACCAGTTAAATCAGTTGCCTTGGAGGGATCTGAACAGTTGCCGTTGAGTGGAGTCCTACTCATGGGGCCTCACGTGCGTCAGAGTTACCTGTTCTGCATCCAGTTTTCCCTGACTGAGCTTTCAGAAATGGATTACCAGGCCTTTCTTCTGAAGGGCTCCAGGGTGGACTTAGAACGCCACCGCTTAGTGAGAAGCCAAGTGCATCAGCCGTTCACACCACCCAGAGAGTTCATTGCCTTCAATTGCTGGCAGACTATCCCAGAGGGCAGTCAGGGTGTTCACTTCCACAGCACTGGCTTTTTCCTGTTCGCCTGACCAGTGGAAAATAGGAACAGTGTGGGGCTTCAAACTCGCAGGCCAAGGCATGTTTCATCCTACAGCCAGAGTCACCCTCTTCTCTCAACATTGGGCTTTTTGTCTGGTTTTTGCCATTTTAACCATTTTCAAAGGCAAAATTCAGTGGCATTAATTACATCAGGGAGCTCTGGTAGCGTAGTGCCTAAGGCACTTGACTGCTAACCAGAAGGCTGGTGGTTCAAGCCCACCAGCCACTCCTCGGAAGGAAGATGGGGCAATCTACTTCCGTAGAGATACTGCCTCGGAAACCCAAGGAGGGGGCGCTGTGGGTTGGGTCCGACTCAACGGCACATACAACAAAAATTACATCAACCATATTGTGCGACCATCACTATCCATTTCCAATCTTTTCCATCCGCCCAAACAGAAACTCAGGGCCCCTTCAGCAGTAACTGCCAGTTCCCTGTCCCCAGGCCCTGGTAACCACCAGTCTACTTGGGTCTCTCTGTATTTGCTGGTTCTGGATATTTCATGGACATGGGATCCTCCAAGAGCTGGCCTTTGGTGTGTGCCTTCCTTTCCTCAGAATCCTGTTTTTAAGGTTCATCCACGTCATAGCACAGGTCGGGACTTCTTGTCTCTTCGCGGCTGGGTAATGTGTCATTGTGTACATGGCACATTTTGTCATTTATCCATTTGTCTGTTGAGGGGCATTGGAGCTGTCTCCACCACTTGGTTACTGTGAGTAGTGCTGCAGTGAACAGTGGTGGTGTGGTTGGGTGCCGTCGAGTCAGTTCTGACTCAGGGCAACCCCATTTCTGGGCTGTAATCTTCGATGGCGCAGGACTGGGCAGTGTTGCTTTCTGTTGTACATAGGGTGGCAGTGGGTCAGAACTGACTTGATGCCACCTAACAACAATCGCAATCTTTATAGAAGCAGGTTGCCAGCCTTTCTCTGCAGAGTCACTGAGTGGGTTTGAACAACCAACCTTTGAGTTAGCACCCAAGCACTTAACCGTTGTGTCACCAGAGCTCCTCGGACATTGCTGTACACGTTTCCAGTGTTTCAATTCAAGCTCCTTTCGTCAAGACACTTAACCCGCGAGAGCCTTCGAATTGCCGAATGTTTCCGTTTACCAGTGCTCCCTAAAGAGATGTGTTGGATACAGGAAAGCCAGTATCGGCACCCACCAGTGCAGCATCTCCTCGTTCAGTTTTCTCTGAGCTCAGGACTTCCCATTCTCATCCTTAGCTAGAGAGAGGCCCCCTGTGTGCACGCAGCTGTGCTGGCCCGGCTGCGCCTGGGAGACAAAGCGGCTTAAACGTTTTGCTTCTAGAATGATCCATGCAAACCCCTAGGGGCCCCTGGAGCTGCATTTCTATCACAGGAGCCTTCAGCCAGTGCAGACTCCCGTCTCTGTTTGCTTTCTCATGTGCTGAAGCGCTTGTACCTGTTCAGGCCATTTTTCATCACATGTGGAGTCCCTGGGTGGTGCAGAGGGTTACATGCTCTGCTGCTGGCAGTTCGAGTCTACCCGGTGGTACCTGGGAGGAGAAGCCTGGTGATGTACTTCCAAAAAAAGAAACCTATTGCCATCAGGTTGATTCCAACCCATGGTGACTCCGGGTGTTGCAGAGTAGGACTGCTCCGTAGGATGTCTTGGCTGTTATCTTTCCAGAGGCAAAGCACTAGGTGTTTCTTATGCAGCACCACAAGGTAGATTTGAGCCGCCAGCTTTTAGGTTAGTACCAATACCGAACCACACCCACTGCCGTGGAGTCCATTCCAACTCGCAGTGCCCCTAGAGGACAGACTGGAACTGCACCACAGGGGTTCCAAGGCTGTCCATCTTCACAGAAGCAAAGCCCAAACCAAACTCACTACCATAGAGTGGATTCTGACCCACAGCACCCTTAGAGGACAGAGTAGAACTACCCCGTAGGGATTCCAAGCTGCAGGCTTTACAGGACAAGAGCAGACTGCTACCTCTTTCTCCTATACAGAGTGGCTGGTGGGTTTGAACCACTGACTTTTCTGTTAGCAGCTGAGCACTTAACCACTGCACCACCAGGGCTCCTTCTATACAAACACAGGCCTTCCGTTTCCCCCTCTGCCCCTTCCCCATTCATATATCCTACAGCAGTGTGTACCCCATTTAGTGTGTTTGACGTAACCGCTGCCCCCACAGACCTCCAGGATTCAGTGACTGTTTGACGCCTCCTGGCCTGTCTCCCTTGCTGCAGGTTTCTCTCACTCGGCCTTCACGTTTGGAATCGAGAGCCACATCAGCCAGTCCAACATCAATGGGACACTAGTGCCGCCGGCCGCGCTCATCTCCATCCTCCAGAAGGGCCTGCAGTATGTGGAGGCTGAGATCAGCATCAATGAGGTACGTCTTGCCCAGGGCCTGGAGCCCACAGGCAAGTACACGATCATGTTGTAAGGTGCTGTCTTACCTTACCTGTAAGGTCAGCACCAATGGGTGGCAACCTTACGCTTCAACAGAAGGAAACATGCTGTCCTCATGACTGTGGGCATGTTTCAGTCCATTGTTGTGGTTCTTGTGTCCATCCGTCTCATGGAGGGTCTCCCGTTGTCATTGACCGTCCACTTAGCAACCATAGTGGCCTTCTCCAGCAGTTGCTCTTCCCTGATGATATGTCCAAAATCAGTGAGTTCTGAAATGCTAGTTCCCTCGGCGGCGGTAGTCCTGAACCATGTGGAGCACTTGGAAATGCTCTTCACGTGCATTTGATTGAGCCTCGCGGGACGGTGTAGACTTAGAACCACGTGCCTGTGTATGTCATGAGCTGCCATCCAGTGGGCCCCAGCTCATGGCCACCTCATGTATCATGGCCCTGAGAACAAGCCACAATCCAACCCATATTTTCCCAAAGGGACTTGAGAATAGCTGGGGCATTTTGTTTAACTTTATTTGATCTGGGGTGATGACTGTGTCTGCATACAGGTAGCAGATGCCTTTTCCACGTCAGTGTTTTCCACATAAACACACAGGCATAGGCTGTTATGGATGTAAATGCTACATTCTCAAATCTGAAAATACGCAGCGTCCTCTGTCCACGTCCCGCCATGGAAGTCCAGACTTCTCTGTCCTCTCCTGTCCTGACCCTCCCCCACAGGTGATGCAGCCCAGCGTCCTCCATCCACGTCCAGTCGTGGAAGTCCAAGGCCACTGCCTCTTTAGGCGACCCCCCAACACAGTCCTATCTTCCTGGAATCCTTCCAGTTTTCTGCACCCTGTCTTCCTCTGAACAGTTCCATCTTTGTTATCCATGGCAGTTAGTTACTCCACTTCCCTTCAGCTTATAAAAAACTCTTTAAGTAATTTCTTACCAGCAACCAGTTGCAATGGAGTCAATTCCAACTCAGTGGCGACCCCATGTGTGTTGGAGGACAACTGTGCTCCATAGAGTTTCCAGCGGCTGAATTTTCAAGTTACCAGGCCTTTCTTCCTAGGTGCTTCTAGATAGACTCCAACTGCCAGCCTTTTAATGAGCAGCCAAGTATATTTACCATTTGTTTCACCCAGGGACTGAAAAAAAAAAATCTGAAAGTGACTTACTGTTTTCGGTCCTTTGTTTTCGTCCTCTGTCATTCATCAGCCCATGCCTTTATTATATTTTATTTTGTTTTGTTTTTATTGTGATTTGGGTGGAAGTTTACAGAGCAAATTTATATTCCATACAGCAGTTCATATGCATTTTGTCTCATGGCATTCACTGCAATTTCCCACAATGGAACAGCTTCCCTCCCACTTCCTCCCAATAGCCCCCTCTTCCCTGTGTCCTTCCCTCCATGCACTCCCGCTCCCCGAGCTGTCCCCCTGTGCAACACTGCCCTTCTGTTCTCCCATGATTGATCTTTCCAAGGAATGTATCTACCTGATATAAATGTTCAGCTCATATGCCTGTCTGTTGTTTGGCTAGAAGCCACAGGAGTGGGTTCAGTTCCAGACCTGAAGGGCAGCTAGGGGCCATGGTCTCAGGGGTTTCACCAGGCTCTATCAGACCAACAAACCTGGTCCTTTTTTTTTTATGATCTTGAGTTTTGTTCCACATTGTTCTCCACTCTATCCAGGATCTCCTACATAGATCCTCCTCAAGTGGTTGACAGTGGTAGCTGGGCACCATCTAGTTCTTCTGGTCTCATGGTCATATAGGCTGAGGATGGCATTGTGTACCAGTCACTTGGACTATTTGTTTATTCTTTGCTCTGGATGAGGAGAGACCCAGTTGCATCAGCCCATGTGTTTTTAAACACCCTGTTTCTGGCCGTCTCATGTGTTTTCCTCCTGTCAGCTTCCACTTCCTCTCTCCTTCCACTAACATAGTTGCCCCACATCTTCCACCTCCTCCTCCCTCGAGTCCTGTCTGGCCTCTTTATCAGCATGGGGAGAGGAGCCCATGGCCCCTCAGGTCCCCTGACGCCCAGATGCCCAGGTTCAATTTCTGTCCTCCAAGGGCTCCCTTTCTGTGTGTCACAAGCCTTCAACCCAAATCCCACGAGATGCCAGGGATAGACCATCTCATTTGTCACTCAGGTTTCCATTAGCTGGAAAGTGACACAAAGTGCTAGCAGTGTTTAAGTCCAGAGATGATTTTACAAGTTTGGATAGCCACACCTTTTTCTGACACAGTCATCCATTTGGGGTATGAGTGTAGGAAGGAGGCACTCATGTCATGGCCAGGAGTTCAATACTGCTCACTCTGGCCTGAGCTGAGGTGCAAAATTGTAACCAGATGTATCAGCCTGCCTTATTGTTTCATGTGGTTACCTCAAATACAGAGCTGTAACCCGAAATCAGCTGGGGTGATGTTTTGGTTAGATCTGTTCAGCTGAACTCTTCTCACTCTAATGGTTTCTGATGTTGGAGGCAAGTCCCCTTCGGAACAAATAGAACCAGGCTTACACGTCCACCAGAAACAGCCCCGAGGCACCAGGTGTCAGTGACTTCTATCCTTGGAGTGCTTGATCAAAAAGGGACTTTCTCCTGGGTCTAGGCGTATGTGTGTGTGGAAAATGGTTCAATGCTGGGTGCCAACTAGAGTCAAACAAAGTGTGGCAACCCTGAGGTAGACCTGAATGAGGTCACGGTCTGTCGTGTCGAGGCTCTTTTTAGTGTTCATCCTAAACTCAAGACGACAGCTGAGGTCGAAACAACTTCCTAGTAACCCAGCTCAGAGTGGAGCGGGAGCCACGAATTTGGCATTGATGTTTTCAGAGTTACCTCTTTCATATAAAAGACTAGTTACTAACAAAGATTGTCCACAGTTGTCATAGAATCAAGGCAGGGACTCTCTCCCTTAGCATTGCTGGCATTTAAAGCCAGATCACTCTCGGGGGGTGGGGGGGCATCCTGTGCACTGCAGGGTGTGGAGCAGCATCCCTGGCCTCCACCCCTTAGATGCCAGGAGCACCTCAACCCCGTTGTGACAGTGAGGTGTCTCTAGTCATTGCCCACAGCCTCGTGGGGGCACCATCCCTTCTGATTGAGAACCCCTACATGAAGGGTGACAGTCTTAGTCATGTGATGAAGTTGGCATATCCAGATGCCCTTCATTTGATTTGACAGTTTACAGAATTCTGAGTGTCTTAGTCATCCAGTGCTGCTATAAGAGAAATACCACAAGAGGTGGGTGGCTTTCATGAAAAGACGTTCATTTTCTCACAGTTGAGGAGGCTAGAAGTCTGAACTGAGGGTACGGGCTCTAGTGGAAGGCTCTCTCCTTGTTGGCTCTGGGGGCCTTTCATCCTAAGTCCTAGTTTTGGTGGTCCTATGTGGCATGTTTCTTCCCCTCCTTTGTCTTTTTCTCTGTATCTAAGCTGCTTCTTTCACATCTCAAAGGTGATTGGCTTAAAATATACCCGACACTGAGAAGGTCTCATTAACATAACAGAAAGTCCTAATCCCAGATAGGATTACAGCTACAGGTGTGAGACCCAAACCCGATGCTGTCAGTCAATTCTGACTCATAGTGACCCTATAGGACAGAGTAGAACTGCCCCAAGGCTCCTTCTCTATCTGTATCGGGCTTAGGATTTACAATACATGTGTCTTGGGGACACAGTTCAATCCATAGTGCAGAGCCTTCCCACAGATGGCAGTAATGCCACTTCACCCACCCTAGTCCCTCCCCTGGACCACAGGGAGTCCCCTCATGCCCAACTGCCCAGTGCAATGCTGGCCACCTCCACCCCTGGCCCCCACGCGCCAGCATGCACCTCCACTCCCTGATTGCCTCCTGTCAGGGGAAGCGGGCTGGAGGAAACGCTTTCATGCAGCTGACACTGCGACCTTTCTCCCAGGACGGCACCGTGTTTGACGGGCGGCCCATTGAGTCGCTGTCGCTGATTGACGCAGTGATGCCGGATGTGGTGCAGACGCGGCAGCAGGCCTTCAGAGAGAAGCTGGCCCAGCAGCAGGCCAGTGCGGCGGCGGCCACGGCAGCGGCAGCCACCCCAGCAGCTGTGTCCCAGCAAAACCCACCAAAGAATGGAGAGGCCTCAGTGAACGGGGAGGAGAACGGGGCACATGCAATAAGTAAGTGCCGGGCTTGGGCACTCCCAGAAGAATCATTAAAACTGCCTGCTCTCGGTTTCTTCCCATGGCTTTCTGCTGTTTGCCTGCTGTCTGAGCACAGAATAGTGCCACATTCTGGTTTCTTTCTCATCGAAATTTTTAGGCAAGCTGGTCTTCCACATTAAGTAAATAAATACATGGAGGCGGGGGACAATCTTCACTCATGCATCCTCAATTTTAGGAAATGCTGCCCATCTGAGAACTCTAGTCAGTATGTTACTGTTGTTGGGTGCTGTTGAGTCGATTCCAACTCACAAGCGCCCCTAGAGGACAGAGTGGAACTGCCCCCTACAGTTTCTGAGGCTGTCCGTCTTCACAGAACCAAAGCTGCTGTGGAGTCGATTCCAACTCACAGTGTCCCTAGAGGACAGAGAACTGCCTCATAGGGTTTCTAAGGCTGTCAGTCTTTATACAAACTGACTGTCTCATCTTTCTTCTGTGGAGCAGCCGGTGAGTTTGAACCACTGACCTTTTGGTTAGCACTTAACCCCTGTGCCACCAGGGCTCCACGTAGTTAGTGTAATAATGAGAACAGTACTGCATGATTATAGTCCAGCATAAACAAAACCGTTTGCTTTGTGGGAGCAAACATCCAGCCTCCCGTGTGGAGGGGTTTCTCCTTGGGTGGTGCAGTCAATTAACGTGCTTACTCAGCTGCTAGCCATTGGCGGTTGAGCCTACCTAGAGGCACCTCGGAAGAAGAACCTAGTGAACTAGTTCTGAAAACATCAGCCAGTGAAAATCCCATGGGATGCAGTTCTCTGACTGGGTTCGAACCTCCAGCCTTTTGGTTCACAGTCACCCGCATTCGTTGTTTGTACCACTCAGTGACCCCTGCCCAGTCCCTGAAGGGACTGCCCTTTGTCATTAAGACAGAAGTGCCTTCAGACCTCGTTTCTTGTTTACTCATACACCGCATGTCTTTTCTTGCTTCCTGCTGCAGATAATCATTCAAAACCAATGGAAATAGATGGGGAAGTTGAGATCCCATCGAGCAAGGCCACCGTGCTTCGGGGCCATGAGTCCGAGGTGTTCATCTGCGCCTGGAACCCTGTCAGTGACCTCCTCGCGTCCGGGTAAGTACTTCAGCTCGAGGGTGCTCCAGGTGTTGGGGTCTGAAATGTTTGCTCGTCCCTGAACGTCTGCCTCATGGAACACACTCTAGCCTTGCACTGGGTTTATAGCATCTTCACAGTGTGTGCACACGGAAGCTGGGAAAACCCTGCACCCCTTCCGTAACAGAAATACCACAAATGGGTGGGGGGTTAATGACTAGAAGTGGCTTTTCTCGCAGTTCTGGGGCCTTGAAGTCTGAATTCAGGGCACCGGCTCCGGGGAAAGCCCTCCCTCCGTGGCTCTCGGAGCACATCCTTGTCTCTTCAGCTTCTGTTCCTGGGCCCTGGGAGACCCCCACGCAGTATCTGTCATCCCCCATCTCTGCTTCTTTAATTCCCTGCCTAATGGGCTCTTTGATATCCTGAAAAGGGTTCGTTTAAAACACACCCTACTCTAGATGTATGTAGGAGATCGTGGATAGAGAGGGAGAACAATGTGGAACAAAACTCAAAATCATTTGGGGAAAAAAGGGAGGGACCAGGTTTGCTGGTCTGATAGAGCCTGGTGGAACCACTGAGACTGTGGTCCCTAGCTGTCCTTCAGGTTTGGAATTGAACCCACGCCTGTGGCTTCCAGCAAAACAAAAGACAGGCATATGAGGTGAACATTTACCTGAGGTAGATACACTCCTGGGAGAGAATAATCATGGGAGAAAGAAGGGTGGTTTCTGCATAGGGAGACGGCTCGGGGCAGGAGTGCATGGAGGGATGGACACAGGGAAGAGGTACCTATTGGGAGGAAGTGGGAGGGGAGCTGTTGCATTGGGGTAAA